CCAACAAGCCTAGAAGTAGGTAAATGAGTGCAGCCTCAAGGTGAGACAATCGCTTTGTTAACCGCGGGATTTTAGTTGGCTTTTCATTTGCTTTACTTTTATTACCGTTGTTATTTTACTGGTCTTGCTAATTTAGGTGTAAGCTCTTGCCTAATCGTAGTTGAATTCTAAGATCTCTGAAAAGTTTCAGTTGGGAACAATATTAAGCTTGCAATTTCACCACTTAAACAATATTTTATTAAGCTTCTAAATTCAATTCCTGGTTTCACATCAAATTCTCCTCCGGTTGAAAGAATCTCATCTCCTGATGAGGCTTGAGTTCGCTCTGAAGGCGTTGCATCTAGAGACACCAAGGCTTGAGTTTGCTCACTTGACACCACAGACTTACATGACACACACGACAACAGGTATGACTCACCAACACTCACTCGAGAAACCGGGATTTGCTAACCTGCTCTGATAACAAATTGATGCAAGCAAAAAATTTGGGAAGAGCCCCCAAATTTTTGCAAGCAAAAACAAGACTTTCCTAGGTAATAGAAAATACACGAAATACCAAAAAGACATGAAATACGACAATTGAACAAAAACAATTCACTTAATAAAATAAGATGACTTACAAACTTTGACGCTTACAAACGACACAAACATTAACTTAAACTCCTAAAACGGCTTGTCAAACGTTAAGAAGAAGGATACAAGTGGGGTGGATACTTGCGAGAAGAAGAATGAGGTTAGAAGACGAGAGGAAACATAGCTCACAAGCTATAGAGAGGAGAAGAGGATGAGGTGGCATAGCTCGCAAGCTATCCAAGAAAACCCTCAGGTTTTGCTGTCCAAAAATTATATTTTTTCCCACATTTTTTGCCAAAACAACACCACATATTTATAGGAGAGAAAGGGAAGACAAACAGCCACTTGAAATCAATAAAAAGAGGAAAATAGAAGGCCAAGAGACATTCCAAACAGCAGCTAAAAAGGCACACAAAATATCAGTCAAATTCATCCCAATCTAGCTTACAAGGGGCAAAAGAGGAGGGCAGGAAAAAGAGGGCGGAACCCCAACAACCTTTTCACGGGAACAGCAACAGCCAAGCGAAAACCGAGAAGACCAAGGGGAAGTCACGGGAACAGCAACAGCCAAGGCCCCAAACCGAGAACAGCAAGTAGCCCAAGGCCCCAAACCGAGAACAGCAAGCAGCCCAAGGCCCCAAACCGAGAACAGCAAGCAGCTCAAGGCCCCAAACTGAGAACAACAAGCAGCCCAAGGACAAGAAGAAATTCAAGATGATTTGACCCCCCTTGCCTACATCAATTCTCCTCTGGTTGAAAGAAGCTCATCTCCCGATGAGACTTGAGTTTGCTCTGAAGGCGTTGCATCTAGAGACACCATGGCTTGAGTTTGCTCACTTGACACCACAAACTTACATGACACACACGACAACTGGTCTGACTCATCAAGTCTCACTCGACAAACCGTGATTTGCTAACCTGCTCTGATACCAAATTCATGCATGCAAAAAAATTTGGTAAGAGCCCCCAATTTTTTGCAAGCAAAAACAAGACTTTCCTAGGTAATAGAAAATACACGAAATACCCAAAAGACACAAAATACGACAATTGAACCAAAAAAAAATTGCACTTAATAAAGTAAGAGGATTTACAAACTTTGACGCTTACAAACGACACAAACATTAACATAAACTCCTAAAACGGCTTGCCAAACGTTGAGAAGAATGATACAGGTGGGGTGGATACTTGCGGGAAGAAGAGTGAGGTTAGAAGACGAGACAAAACATAGCTCGCAAGCTATAGAGAGGAGAAGAGGAAGAGGTGGCATAGCTCGCAAGCTATCCAAGAAAACCCTAAGGTTTTGCTGTCCAAAAATTACATTTTTTCTCACATTTTTTGACAAAACAACACCACATATTTATAGGAGAGAAAGGGTAGACAAACTGCCACTTGAAACCAATAAAAAGAGGAAAATAGAAGGCTAAGAGACATTCCAAACAGCAGCTGAAAAGGCACCCAAAATATCAGCCAAATTCATCCCAATCTAGCTTACAAGGGGCGGAACCAACAGAAACCGAGGCCAGGTAAAAGGGGGCGGAACCCCAACAACCTTTTCATGGGAACAACAACAGCCAGGGGAAAACCGAGAAGACCAAGGGGAAGTCACGGGAACAGCAACAGCCAAGGCCCCAAACCGAGAACAGCAAGCAGCCCAAGGACAAAAAGAAATTCAAGATGATTTGACCCCCCCCTTGCCTACATCAAAAACTATGAGAACCACAAGCAGCACGAACCTTAAACTTAAACCTTTGGTTTGGAACCTACTTTTTACAAACCAAGGATGAAAGTCGAGACTGATAAAGCAATTGCATGTGCATAAGCTAAATGCACAAAGATAGAGTCCAATGGCATCGAGAAGAATTCTTTGTTAGCTTCTTTCCATGTTGGATGTCTGCTTTATTACTGTCTTTCAGAAGAAAGATAGGGTCGTGAGGAATGCAAAATATCTAATAATTTAGAAAATTTAACCCTAACCTAAGAAGAAAGGAGAGAGGACACAAAAAGCATTCAGTAAGGGAAATCGGCCGGTATTTATCCAGATTTAAGATCTACGAAGTGGAGATGAAACCCTTTTTCTTAAGTGAAAATCGAAAAAAAGAGTGAAATTCATCAGAGAAGGAGAAAAAACCATGCAACCAAGTTCAATAAGAATCACTATTCTAATTGATTTAGCTACTTTTCCTAGATGTAAGCAAAAAACAGCAACGAAAAAACTCAGAATCCAACATGATGTTTGTAGAAAGCAGAGAAGAAGAAGACAACATAAGGAGAACGATAGATTGGCGTAGAATACCTGGAAGTTCCCATGGCTCGCACTTATAGACGTCAGCCTCGCCAACCATAGCAGGTTTTATCCTTTGGCGGCATATCTTCCTTTTTAGGTAGAAGAGCACGAGCTCCTCATCGGTGGGATGAAATCGAACACCCGGCGGCCATCGCTTTGACTCTCCTAACTGCCGACCGACATCTTGATATTCTTCATCGTCATCGCATGCGCTGCTAATCCGACGCCCCACCGGTGCACTGCAGTCCGCCGCCGCCCCCATCGATCCCCTCAAAACCCTATCTCACCCAATCGTTGACCGCTGCAGAAATACAGAAGGCTGCTTCCAAACGGACTTCGAAATCTTCCGACTAGTGATACGATTCAGTAAAGGAGAAAAAATATGAAGAAGCAGAGAGGAGAGATGCTCACGGCGATGGCCAACTCCGACGAAGCCCGACCGCCCGCTGGTCGCAGCGCCCTCTTACTTCCTACCTAATAAATGAATAGCGTCTGAAATTGGGTAGAGTATTGACTGATTAGTGCTCCCGATCATTTTAACAAAATTTTGAGGCGATGGGAAATTTCGCAGTAGCTAAGCTGCCTTTTAGTGCTAAGTAGGCCAGATGGCAGAAGGGTCTAGTCAAAAGAGGAATTTAATTAAATTGGGCAAATTTTAAAAATAATCTAGTATATAATTATATTATAAAATAAGTACAAAAATAATTAAAAAAATAAACATAATTGCCCGTTTAATAATAATTAACGGAAATTTTTTTAATGTGAAAATAATTTAATTAAATATAATTTAGATTATCTTCTAAATTAAATGTTATGGAAATTTAATAATCTTAATAGGGAGAGTTGTAAATTGAAATAATCATCTCAATTAAAATTTAATTTTGATGTTTGTTAAGCATTATTAAAGATTTCAATTAAAAATTTTATTAAAGATTTCAGTTTTCGATTTGAAATTTTATTTTCAACATAATTAAATATATCTTATATTTTATATAATATATGCATTGATCAATGAACAAAAAGTATTTTTTTATCCTTTTTTATTTACATACAAACAATTATCATATTGATATAGTTGGATTAATATTAATATGCATTCAATTGGCTTTCCATTGATTTGTGAAGATGAGATTGTAACGCCCAAGGATCCAATGGAAGGAATGAATTCACGTAAACCTATAATTAGCTACTTCATCGATAAATAATAACAATCAAAGCTATTAAATCCCCCAAAAATATAAAATAATATTGTCAAAGTTTATTTCACCAAAATATAATTACATAAACAACAAAAGCAACATCAACCCTTTATCCCACTAGTCGGGGTCAGCTACATGATTATGTTTTCTCCATTGTGTTATATTAAGAGTCAATTTTTTATTTAAATTTAATAAAGAAAGGTCATTTATGAAAGTTCGATGAAGGATTTTAACCGTAAGTGAACTATCCCAAAGCACATCAAGAGAGCATTAGTGGTGGGGGGGTGTGAATTGAGAGTTTTAAAAATCCTACTGAAAACACAATTTTTATTTTTATTTTTATTTTAGGATTTTTAACAAAAAAATAATAACACTTATAACCAAATGCGAAAGCAAATAATTTTATCAAAAGTTACAATAATGATGATGATATTCTAATCAACAGAATGAAGCATCAATCACATATCTTCATCAAATAATTATCACAAAAAATAAAATGTAGAAAAAAAATAAAGCACAAAAATTAAAAAAAAAACGCACTAAAAATTTATAATGGTTCAGTCAAACAATGACTTATGTCCACTCCATGAAGTTCTCCTCTTCGAGTATTGCACTAAACTTTAATTTCTCTTTCTTTAGCTCTCATAGCTAGGCGGAGAAGCCCTTACAATCTTTCACCAACCTTGTGAGGCAGAGAAACTCAACCTCCTTTCTCACCCTTTTGGTGATGGCAGAGAACCTCGACCTCATTTCTCACCCTCTTAGCAATGACAGAGAATATGAACCTCCTTTCTCACCCTCATGGTGATGGCAGAGAATATTGACCTCCTTTCTCACCCTCCTAGTGATGGAAGAGGACCTGAATCTTCTTTCTTACCCTAATGATTATAGTAGAGAACCTGAAACTCCTTTCTCACCCTCTTGGTGAAGGCAGAACCTCAATGATATTTGAGATGAAGAACATCTTCCCAAAGCCACCAAAGAAACTAAGACAAACACCTAAAGGAAATAAGTCAAGGCACTTGCTTGGAGCAACCATGTCACCCCTCGCACTACTTCTCCCTCACACACAAGCTCTTCCTTTATTCTTCTCAAAGCTCTCTTGGAGGAAATGAGGCAAGACACTTTCTTGGGTTCAATCATCATGTACGATCTAACTAGATCAATTAATCTAAAATTGTTCCTTAATCATATGATTAATTTATGAAAGATTTAATTATATCATATATTACGATACTTATCTTACAGTATGATTAGTTCAACCGAGAACAACACGCAGGCCAAGGTCCCAAACCCAGAACAACAAGCAGGACAAGGCCCCAAACCGAGAACAGCAAGCAGCACAAGGCCCCAAACTGAGAACAGCAAGCAGCCCAAGGTCCCAAACCTAGAACAGCAAGCAGCCCAAGGCCCCAAACTCAGAACAGCAAGCAGCCCAGGGACAAGAAGAAATTCAAGATGATTTGACCCCCTTGCCTACATCAAAAACTATGAGAGCCACAAGCAACAGGAACCTTACACTTAAACATTTGGTTTTGAACCTGCTTTTTACAAACATCATATTGGATTATGAGTTTTTTCCTTAATGTTTTTTGCTTACGTCCAGGAAAAGTATCTAAATCAATTAGAATAGTGATTCTTATTGAACTTGGTTGTGTGGTATTTTCTCCTTCTCATATTATTTTCACTCTTTTTATCGATTTTCACATTTAGAAAAAGGGTTTCATCTCCACTTCGTAGATCTTAAATCTGGATAAATACAGGCCAATTTCCCTTACTAAATGCTTTTTGTGTCCTCTCCCCTTTCTTCTTAGGTTAGGGTTAAATTTTCTAAATTATTAGATATTTTGCATTCTTGACGCCACAATATTTCTTTTGAAAGACAGTAATAAAGCAGAAATCCATCATGGAAAGAAGCTAACAAAGAATTCTTCTCGATGCTACTTTTCTTGGATGCAAGCTATCCAAGAAAACCCTCAAGTTTTGTTGTCTAAAAATTACATTTTTTCCCACTTTTTTGACAAAACAACACCACATATTTATAGGAGAGAAAGGGGAGACAAAAAACTACTTGAAACCAATAAAAAGAGGAAAATAGAATGCCAAGAGACATTCCAAACAACAGCTAAAAAGGCACCCAAAATATCAGCCAAATTCATCCTAATCTAGCTTACAAGGGGCGGAACCAGCAGAAACCGATGAGGCCAGGAAAAAGGGGGCGGAACCCCAACAGCCTTTTCACGGGAACAACAACAGTCAGGACCAAGGGGAAGTCACGGGAATAGCAACAACCAAGGCCCCAAATCGAGAACAGCAAACAGCCCAAGGCCACAAACCGAGAACAGCAAGAAGCCCAAAGCCCCAAATCGAGAATAGCAAGCAGCCCAAGGCCCAAAACTGAGAACAGCAAGCAGCCCAAGGCCCCAAATCGAGAACAACAGGTAGCTTAAGGCCCCAAACTGAGAACAGCAGGCAGCCCAAGGCCCCAAACCGAGAACAGCA